TCAGCTGATGGGCAGACTGACTGCATGTGTGTGTTTTCTCAGGTGAAACGGTGGAGCGTGAAGCCATCTCAGAGGCCGTTCAAGATGCCAAAGAGCTTGTGAACGCTTTTTCGAGTAGATCAAAGCGCGTTCCACGAGCCGTCGCTGTACTGGACGACATTTTGAACAAGCTGCGACCTCAGGTCAGCTCGAGCGCATTTGAAGACTTAATGGGTTTTTGTGTATGTTGGGACAGTTTGCAGCCACATGAAGAGTCAATGATGTATCGTGGTTTTTGTGTCTGTTTGTGTCACGTATATTGTAAGGGAAATATTTTTAAAGTCTGATAACGAGCTAAACATTACCCATTTTCTTATTAAACTTAGCAATTTGAGTTTTTTTGTTTGTTTTGAAACATATTTTTCGTATTGTTTCTCAGCCAAACCTTCCTACGGGGGGAGAATCTCCCACCGGCGACGTTGTCATGAATGACGATGACGATAGCGGAGACTCTCACCAGGAAGTGTGGGCCGTCTTTGAGAGGATCTGGTCTCACGTGTGTCAACTAAGGTGGGCGTGTTTGTTATTGGAGTGTTGGGATTATACTGCAGGTGCCATATTAGGATTACTTACTAGCACATATGCTTGGATTTATTTAAATAACTATGTCAGCATCAGTTCAGAAGTTAGCGTCTTCTGCTGCAGCACCGCACTATGATGATAGTATAAGAGCCAAGTGGTTCCAATAGTGGAGGAATTACAAAATAGTGACATGAAATCATTTGCCAGGACAAAAACACGCTTTGGAGTTTATTTTGAAGCGTGTCTTGTTTTTCTTTCCGTTCCGCTGACCCCCTGAAATCTTTTGCTTTCTGTTTTGTTTTAGCTTGGAGGTGTTCAAAGCTCTGGGCTTTGACCCTCACACCAGGCAGTGCCTTCAGCCAGAGGGAGCTGCTCCACCACCACAGGACGCCTTGGCCTGCTTGCACAAACTGTCCTCCATGGTCTCGCAGCTGCTCCAAGCTTTCAGCAGGTATGTCATGTCAGTTAAAAAAATACCGCTGGAGGCCTCTTCCTGTTGCTTCATTAGATTTTAAGAGTGTGTGCGTCACAGTCGCCGTTTCACAAATCTCATAGGTACATCTGGATCCGTGTCCTTCAGTAACCTCCACAGAGGAGCGTGATCTTGCTTAACCTGTCACGCTTTCCTTATGCTTTCACAGGCGTGTCTCACCTTCGCCTCAACAAGTAGCTTTTCGAAGAAGTCCTTTAAACGGCCACCCCTCCCCTTTCTGTGCGCGTGTGTTTTATGCTGTCATTGCTCTCGGGCTTCATTCGGCACCATAGCGCAGGCTGTAATCTCCGTGACCTTGTAGCTTCGCCTTATCACCTTTCCCATGACGCAGCAGTCTGTGCTTCAGTGTAGCGGGAAGTTTCTGGTAGGAAAAATGTCTAGAATGCACTTCTTGTGCCTGCATTGTCAGCGTGTGATACGTTCACATGTAAGAAGCGTGTTCTTATCACACTGGGAAAGACCCGAGTCAGTCTTTGGTTCGTTCTCACGTTTACATAACACGAATCATCACAGTCGTCTGCAGCGATGCGGCTGCAGTCACGTGCTTTTCATTTGTTTTCCATTCACTCGGTTTCACTCGGAAAATTCAACAACAGCGCTTTTTCA